GACAATTAGAGTCATTTGACTTTGTTTTTATTGCTTACTTGATGTTGACTATTTTTGGATACACTAATGATTTGTGTGTTGCTTTGCAAAGAAAGGAGCAAGATATTGTAAATGCCATGGAACTTGTCACTTACACAAAAATAGTGTTGCAAAAAATGAGGGAGCAAGGATGGGATACTCTCTTAAACAAGGTAACTTCATTTTGTGCTAAACATGGTATTGTTGTTCCCACTATGGATTCTCCTTATGTTCCTCAAGGAAGATCAAGACGTTTTGTTGAAGAAGCAACAAATCAACATCATTTTCGGGTTGGAATTTTTTTAAGAGTGATTGATTTGCTTCTTCAAGAACTTGATGATCGATTTAATGAGAGGAATATGGAGATACTAATGTGTATGGCTTGTTTAAGTCCTAAAGATAACTTCTCATCCTTTGATAAAGATAAGGTACTTAAACTTGCCTCTTTTTATCCCGAAGAATTTTCAAGCTTTGATTTGATGACTCTTGAATGTCAACTTGATATATTCATGGAGAATATGCTAAATGATGAAAGATTTCAAGGTTTAAATGACCTTAATTCTCTTTCTATGATGCTTGTTAAAACTAATAAGCATAAGACTTTTCCTCTTATTCATTTGCTTATAAAGTTGATGTTGATTCTTCCGGTTGCCACGGCAAGTGTTGAAAGAGTCTTTTCTGCAATGACATGTGTAAAAAATAAGTTGCGAAATAGCATGGGTGATCAACTTATGAATGATTGTTTGGTCACTTTTATTGAGAAGGATGTCTTCTTAAGAGTTTCCGATGAAAAGTTGTTGAACGCTTCCAAAATATGAAGACTCGAAGGATGAAAGTGTAATTTTAATGTAATGTTTATGTAATTTTTTTTCATCATTTTGAATTGTATGACTAAGTATGTTTTTTATTTTGAAATTTTAATACTAAGTATTAACCAATTTGTGTGTTTGAGTTATTTTTTTGTTTTTATTTTTTGTTAAGCTATTTGTAAGTTAAGCATTTTGTCCCCCCGAATTGAAAATGCTGGATCCGCCACTATGTCAATGTCCATATTCACCTTATAAATTGCCACACCATATCATTATTATCGTGCCCTGGTGAAAGTCGTCATGTCACGACCGAGACCTATTAAGCCACAACGCAAAAGCAAAACTATTCTAACTTTTTTTGATTTTTTAGTATACAATACTATTTTCTAATATTCCAGATACAAATTCGACGATTAGACGAGATGAAGATGACACTATTCGAGAGTTGTTATTTATCGCCCACATTTTTCTACTTAAAGCCCACATTTGGTAAAATTTTGACAATCTTGCCCTTATTTTAATTTTTACCGAAAACCAAATTTTCTCTCACCAAAAATGTGGAGCAGCACTGGATCGCCGAGGGACACCGAAGAGCCGTCATCGTTGGCGAGATGCACCGGAGAGCCGCTATCGTCGCCAGAAAACGAGGTACGTAGCCGTTTAAAAATACGAAGTGGCGGCTAGCGTCCTGCCGAGAAGCCGCTGCCGTGGGTAGGGCGCCTTGCCAGGACGCCGCCACCGTGACGGTGGGGCCTGGCAGGGAAGCCAACCCCGTGGTTGTGGCGCCTGGCCAGGCGCCACAGCCACGTATATATATATTTTTAATTTTATTTAAAGTTTTGTGTTTTTTTTTTTATTTTTGTGTTTTTTTTTTTGTTTTTTAATTTTGATAAATTTGAAATTAAATGTGTGTTAATAATTTTTTTTTATAAAAAAACAAAATTTAATTGGAAATTATGTTTGAAATATGTGTGAATAATTTATAAAAAAACAAAAATATGGTTTAGTTTGACATTATGTTTTAATATGTGTTAATTATTTTCAAAAAAACAAATGTATGTTTTAATTTGTATGTGTGTGAATACTTTTTGTTTATCTTTTTCATTTTTTTGTTTGTTGTTTATATTTTATTGTTTTTGGTTATATTTTTGTTTTTGGTATATTGTTTTGTTTATGTTTATATTTTTTTTTTCAAATTTGTTAATTTTTTTTTTATGTTTATATTTTTTTTTTCCGTCATTTGTATATTCATTTATTTATTTATTTATTTATTTATTATTTACTTTTTTGTAGTTCATATTGTATGTTTTAATAAACAAAAGTATGTTTTAATTTGTATGTGTGTGAATACTTTTATATATAATTACGTGTTAGTTTTTGTGTTAATTATGTGTAAATTTAGACATTAAATGTATTATGCGTTAAATATGGAAATGATATTTAGAAATTTAAAGTTTAAAAATTACTTTTGTGTTAATTTTGTGTCAAATGTATTAATTTAATTTAATCCTTATGTGATTATATTTATATGTTATTGTTGCAGGATTATGGTGGAGACGGAAATGATTATAATGGGATTTTTGTACATGATGGTCTGTTCGAAGATGCTCAACAAGCGATTGATTGGGCAAAACAGGTTGCAATTATATCAGGTTTTTGATTAGTAGTAGAAGTCATAAATCTCAACGGGATGGTAGAATGGATCGCATTTTGAGATGTGACCGTTATCGTAAAAGGGAGGAACGAGATTTCAATCAAGCGATTCGGTTTGATTCAAAGCGGAAAGGTTGTGGGTGTCAGCTCAGAGTAAAGGTTCGACAACAGCAAAGGCGTGACGGTTGGGAAGTGAAGGGTTACGGTAAATAGGGGTATCACAACCATGAGATGATAGTATATGAAGTGGGTCATCGACAGTTAAGCGGTCTAAGTCCTGCTGCAAAACTAGTTGTAAAAGAAATGAGTGATGCTCAAGTGAAGCCTGCTAAAATATTAGCATCTGTGTTGGAGAAATTTCCTGAAGACTAGCTAAACCGAAGACACATCTACAACGTTAGACAGAAATTGAGGTTTGAAACGGTCAGAGGGAAGGAACCCTATACAGCAGCTTCTACACCAGGCACAAGCACGTGGTTACCTGTACTGGTTTTGAATCTGATGAAGACACATCGGAGGTGACTCATTTGTTCCTTATGCATCCTGATTGTGCTGATATGATTTCGTCTTTGCCATCTGTGATTTTAATCGATTCAACGTACAAGACAAACAAGTACAAGTTCCCACTGGTTGAGATGGTTGGGATTGCTTCAACGAACCAGAACTTTCTGATTGGTTATGTAGTCATGAAGGATGAGACGGCTGTGAGTTACCGTTGGGTGTTGGAGAAGTTGAGAAATTACATTGGCCCAAATGTTCAGCCATCAGCCATAGTCAGTGATTGTGAGGGAGGTCTCTTTGCCCCTATAGCGGAGCAGTTTTCGGAGTCGAGCCATTTACTGTGCACATGGCACATCAACAACTGTGTGAAAGTCAAAGCCTACAACCTTTTCAACAAGAATTTAGATTCAGCAGAGAGATTGGTAAATGGTAAGTGGCGGAAGATCCTGCAAGCTACCACGGAGGCAGAGTACGATCGAGCTTTAGATAACTTCAAGGATGCGTACCAATGGTGCCCGACAATCGTAGACTATGTGATGCAGCAGTGGGTACCTCAGAGGGAAAAGTTTGTCAAATATTGGACAAACCAAGTTCTTCATTTTGGAAACACTACAACATGTAGAGTTGAGAGCGCTCATAGAGCTTTGAAGGACTGGATTAATTCTTCCACCTCTGCTTTGGATACACTGTTCGAGAGAATAAACAAGGCTATTGATACTCAGAAGAACGACATCAAGAACTCTCTCGAGGACTCCAGACGGCGACATGGCATGATGTATAGCCATTTCATATTTAAGATTCTCCATGGTCGTGTGTCACACTACTGCTTGGGGTTGATTCTGAGCGAGCACAACAGGATGAGGGAGTTGGGTGATGAAGTGGCTATTTGGTGCGGTTGTGCTATATCAGTGACTCATGGACTATCAGGGAGTTGGGTGATGAAGTGGCCATTCACCGCGTAATTACGCAAGATAGGGCGTTGTTACATGTTGATCAGGTTCATCCATTCTGGCAGACGCTCGTGATCGGAGAGCATGCTGTTCCACAGACGGTCCACCGTGAACAAGAGGAGTTGGAGCAGTTTCGTTCGATGTTTGACCAAGTGTCCTCCAGCCACCCTTCAATCATTCATAGTGCTACCCATGTACTTCATGACATGTTCAACACGTCGTGCTTGGATCAAGAGGAATCTGAAGGGGTCGAGCGACCAAGGGGTCGACAACCACGGCGGAACAGGAGTGGGTTTGAGTACATTCGTGGTCGTACATCGTCATCAAGTGGTAGCCAATCTTCCTCGTCGGTGAATATGCCCGGCACAGGTACGGTACTTTACTTTAATTTACTTTTTAGAGTGTTCATTTAGTTTACTGCTGACTTGTTAATTGCGTTTATTGATGTGTGCAATAGGTAGAATGGGCATTGAACATTTTCTATATAAGGACAGGATCCCTAACATCATGATGCCATTCTTGGACGAGTGGAATGATGTGGTTGCAGATGGTAACTGCGGATTTTGGGTTGTGGCTGATGTGTTTTCAGATGGGTGAAGACAAATACGGTTTAGTGCGTCAGTTGATGTACAGTGAAATCACCTCAAACCGAGGTGTTTATCGCCATGTGCACGGCCAGGACTTGGATAGGTCTCTGCAGCGTATCCGATGGGGAGGAGGACCTTGCGCTCAAAATCATTGGTTCGACGCGCCACTTGATCTCTTTGCCGTTGCAAACATCTACAAGTGTGCAGTCATGCATTTCGGCCTTGGTTTGCATAGTCGAGCTTATTATCCATGTACCACGGTTCTGTCTTGGTGTTCGCGTGAGACCGTCACCAGACCGGTAAGAGAGGTTGCTATTGGATTTCTTAGGTTGTCATACAGACATTTTATCCGATTGGACCTGTCACCCGATTTTCCGGTCCCACCGATCATACCGAAGTGGTACACCATTCGTAGAACAAGCGTAGAGGGTTAGGATGCGCTGTATCATGCCCGGGTGCAGTAGTGGAACAATCTAGTTGCCATTTAGTTTTTCCCGTGTACACCTACCTTTTCTATGTGACCTTGTATTGTTATTGCTATTTTTTTTCCATTTATTTAATTTTCATATTCTAATTTATATCTTGCATGCACACTAATTTAAAACTTAAAATAATAATTTTAAAAACTAAAAAGATAATGTCAAATTCTAAAAACTTAAAATAAAAATTTCAAATGTTACAAACTAAAAAGATAATGTCAACTTTTACAAACAACTATGATAATGTACAAAATGTTCATTTAGTAATCCCTTTGTGACGCCCACTGCCACTGCTCAAGAGCCCGTTCCATATCATCAATCGTCGTTCTGCCTAATGCATCCGTCATGCTGTCTCTTTTTTCAAAAATTATGTGTGCCACCTGCATCATCTTTCTCATCCACTACACACAACAAAACACATAAAATTCAATAACGACGTATTATAAGAAAAAAAAAACACAACAACAAATGTTTTATGAGACGTACCGCATCCATGGTAGTGGCCGGTGGCACATCATCATCATCGGCGTCGTCGCCATGGTGGAGGTCTCTGATCAACCTCGGGTGCGAGTGTCGGTTGTACCACTCCATGTAGTGCTAGTCACACATGGCAGTCACCCTAGTTAGCGGCCGCAGCAGCTGCTCAATCCATATGCGGGCAACCATCGGAAACTGCTCCCACGTGGCAATCATGCTTGCCGGCCATTGGACGACGTACTCCTTCGACGATGCAAATCGGACCTCCTTACTAGGCCATGCTGGTGGAGGAGGAACAACTTGGACAAATCCAAGCTGGCGAAGACAGCGCTGCGGCATGTACGCCTCTACGATCTCACGATACTGAATCAGTCCTGTGTACAGGGTCCTAGGTACCCTATTACTAGGGTTTTGGCCGAAAGGCATCCAGTTCACCTACACATTTTTGTAAATTAGTAAGATTCATACAATAAACGCCTCAAACTATAAAAGTAGAAATAATTTAAACACTTTACCTCTAATGGGGACATCCTATCAAACGATAACCGTATCGATCGCAGGCGGTCAATGGACTTCTTCTCGACTCGCGGACTCCACGCACAGGGACGTGGCTGGCCATCCCCAATAGGAACTGGGTTGCGGTGTGGTCGAAACGCAGGAAAATACTCGTATATCCAGGTCTGTAACAACGTCAGACATCCAGTGATACCTGCCGCATCAGTCCGACTTGAGAATCCTAATTGCCGATACATATACGCCAACGTAGCGACCCCCAATAAAACTGGCCTACTCTGTCGGGCTCACACGCGTCAACTATGTCGCGTGGCCTGAGCTTGTTTCCGCTCTTATCCGGAAAACAAGGTACACCCGAGAAGAAGAAAAAACAAATGCAGCCAGTTGTGTGTCCTGCGTCCTACGTGCAGTGGGCCGGGTGCAAACATCGCTGCAAAACGGCTACGATCTTAACACCGTCGTGATCCCACACACCAAGTGCCGCTGTGTACAGCGCAGCCCTATCCACCGCCAACATCTCCGCTAGTAAATCTGCCTGATCCGCATCAGTGACAACAGATGCTCGGTTTCCCTCTACGGGAATCCCAAGGATGGCCTCGACGTCATGCAACATGATTGTCATCTCACCGAACAGAAGGTGGAAAGAGTTCGTATCCGGCTGCCATCGCTCAACGAAAGCCATGATCAGCGTCGAGTCAATCCTTTCGTGCATGGTGGCAGGAAGGTGACTCACTCTAGTGCCCCTCAATAGGCCAACCATCTCGCTCTCCTCCGGCCAAGCATCAACCCAACTACACAAAAAGTTACAAGTCTTTTTCCGGGTTTGGCATTTCAAAATGCTTGTATCCAAAGCCCTCTCCAGGTCCTCCCAGATACGGGTAGCGATGTGTCCTAGAAAGCTAGGAATCACACTTCCCGTCTACAGGTCCCCAGCCACCTCACCCTCACCACCCAAGATTCATTAACGGCCCTCGACCGTTTTTTGCTTACCGCAGACACAGTGGACGCAGAAAGATGTGCCAGATCTACTAACAAATCTACCATCTCTACCCTTACGCACATCTACCCTACGCGTCTCATACATATCATCAAGCCTCTGATTGAATGGACCGTAATCATCATATGGTCCACTCTGATCGTCGACATCCTCATCTGCATCCTCCTCCTCCTCCTCCTCCTCCTCCTCATCACCATCATCATCCTCAGAATAGTGCACCCGTTCTCTGCGAGCCGAGGCCGAAATACCACGGGATCTAACGTGTCTGGGCCTCAAGCTCTCCATTGAGTAGATCGTACTTCTTACAATGTCCATACTCTTCCCGCACCAGCTCCAAAATGCGATGCCTAACTCCATGTAAATAACGAAAAATAATAACGAAAAAAATTCAACAAAGTCTAAAAATGCACACAAAAACAAAAAAAACACCAAAACATACAATATTAACTTAAAAAAACTAAATACAAAATAAATAAATAAAAGAATATACAAATAACGGAAAAAAAAACATAAACATAAAAAAAAATAAACAAATTTGAAAAAAAAATATAAACATAAACAAAACAATATACCAAAAACAAAAAAATAAAACAAAAAACAAAAACAAAAAAAATCAAAAAATACAAAGAAAAAACCAAAAAAAACAAAAAAAAAAAAAAAAAAAAAAAAAAAAGAGAGAGAGAGAGGACACCAAAACAAAAAAATAAAAACAAAAAAATTGAAACAACACCCAAAACAAAAAAAAATATATAAAATAATAATTTAAAAAATAAAAAAAAAAGTGGAAAAAAAATCCAAAAAAAACAAATTACAAAAATTTAAAAGGAATAAAAAAATGGAAAAAAAAAAACGAAATAAAAACATTTAAAAAAAATTGAAAAAAAAGGAGGTGGCGTCCTGGCCAGGCGCCGCCACCGTGGCTGTGGCGTCCTGCCATGCGCCCCCACGGTGGCTGTGGCGTCTGGGTAAGGCGCCGCTACCTCTCCCGGTTGTTTTTTTTTTAATTTAAATATACCTTTTCACCGCGAAACCGCCTTCCTCCCGCCACCGGTGCCGCCACTTCCTTGCCTTGTCGCCTCGACATTTTAGAAAAATTTTTAGAGAGAGAAAATGACAGTAAAGAGTAGAGAGAAGATGAGAGTGTGTTTTTTACTTTGAGGGCAAAAGTGTCACTTTACTTCAAATTTATGGGCTTTATGTAGAGATTTGCGAGTGGTGTTTAGCAGTTCACTATTCAAAGACCTCTGAGGCCTAGATGTGATATTTTCATTGCTGTAGGTTTTCTAAAGACAATTATTATCGGATTTTATTGCCTGAAAATCAATATGGGTAGTGCCAATCAAACTTTTTAAATTTAAGGGGTAGTTTTTTTAATAAAAATTTTAAGCTAGTAGTTATTGACAAAATGACCTATTAGGTAGGTAGTTCCTAACAAATTTTCCTAAACTATTAGTCATCTTTTTAGCCAAGAAATGGAAATTATATTATGACGTTACTTTTAGTCAAAAAAATGTAATTTATGTCATTTTAATCTTATTTAATCACTTATCAATGGCTTTCCTTACTAGTTTTAATGTAAATTATATTTAAGGTGATAAGTAACGTCAATATTGGGCTAATTTGTCGAAAAGACCAAAGATAATAATCATACAAATGAATCACTTTTTGAGATAGTAATAAACAACTTTATTTTTTAAAGGTGGTGAATAGCAAACCGCCCTTTTTAGAGGTAGTAATTGACAAATTTTCCTTAGTAATTATTTTAATTTTGAAACTATAAAATATTTAGTAATTTGTATATGTTAATAGTACATCTCCAAGTATCCTTATTTAATAATTCAAATTTAATCAATAATCTATGGCAAGAGTATTAGCAAATGAGTAAAACCTTACTAAGTAAATAGAAGTTAAAACACAGAGCTTAAGAGACGAAGATTTGCGATGTCACATGTCACATGTATTGTGTATATATAAAAAAGACTAGAGTCCCCCTCAAAAAAAAGAAAAAAAAATTAATAAAAAAAGACTAGAGTTGAAAATGAGGAGACTTTCTTGACATTGTGACATATAGTAAAAGTTGGAGAGGAGTACAAATATAAGAAATAATTCATAATAAAATAAAACCATCAACTCTGGAAAACGAACATAACAAAATGTAACATTATACTATCATCACTCGCTCAATTATTTGTTTTAGTTACTAATCCTAACTCTTTTTCAACAGATCTTAACACTTATTCATTTGCACAGTACATAATTAAGGATTTAAGGAAGAAGGTTATTAAAAGTGTAAAATGATCACGAGTACAAGGAAAAAAAAAATGTTGGTGAAGGTAAGAAAGTGAGTTGAAAGGCGTAGATATTGCAGGATAAGTAGAGTGTAATATAGAACATTAAGAACCATAGGTTGTATAAATTTAACATCCAGAACAAGGTCTAGATCCATAACCAGGACGTAACTCGGTGGATTACGATAGTAAATAGGTCTACCATTGCGCTGCATCCCAGATTCTGCAAAGCAAATACACATGTTAAGATATCTATCTATTAACATGTACTAAAAGCAAATCCTTTCATGTCACTTGTCATTATCTTGTGAAATTTTTTTTCGCCATTTTCGTATTTTTTTTTTTTTTTTTAATTTGCAAAATCTTTAAGTAAACTTTTTATACATTATGATATTTTCTTTCCAATTTAACAATCATATTCCATATATACCCAAATAAAATATTTCTGAATATCTTTTGTATACTTTATATTTGTAATATTATTCTCAAAAATATTTAACAACCATGTATTGCATAGGATTTTAACCTAGTATATATATATATATATATATTATGGAGTAGTTTGCAATAAATATCTTTGATGATAGTCTTTCCAAAAAAAAAAAAAAAAAAAAAAAAAAAACCACTTTGATGATATGGAGTAAGTAGGGATGTTAATGGGGCGGGGCGGATGTTGGCCTTCCCATCCCCATCTAAAATTTTCATACTCATCTCCATCCCCATCCCCATCCCCGCGGCGGGTCTAAAATTCATCCACATCCCCGCCCTGGCGGGTACTATTCCAAAACCATCCCCGCCCCAACGCCCACTTAGATATCCACACCCACTTAATCCCTACCTAACACCCGCCTCCCAAATACACAATGCTTCATAATTAATAAAGATTGCAAAAAAAAAAATTATTGTTAATCTTACACATTTTTTTGTTTATAATATAAGTGTATTACAAAGTATTATATTTACTATTTTATTTTACATACTTTTTTTTTTATAAAATAGTATAAAAGTATATAATTTTGTTTTTAAAAATATATGGATGTGGAGATAGGGCGAGTACGAAGTGGGGTGAGTGAGGATAGGGCGGGTACAACCTAAAATTCACCCCCACCCCATCACCCATGGCGGGTATGGTTTTTATCCCCATCTCTGCCCCATCACCCGCCAAATCAAGACTCATCCCTGCCCCGTTAAGACGTGTCTCCTATTTGACCCGGCCCACTAACATCCCTAGGAGTAAGTGCTTTTGAAGATATAATTGTAGAAAAATCTAAGTTTAAAAGTTCGATATTCTTAAAATACATTCCGTATTTTGGTTCTTTCCTAACCTCTATACTCTATTTCTTTGCTTACTACTGGCACGAAAATTAATTAGACTTTAGATTATGTATCCAAAATGAGGAAACCTTGATCACAAAATCTTTTTTTTTTTTATTATTTTTTTTTTTAAGAAATCACAAATTCTTATTTTTCAAAAAAAGTTATTTAAAGTTTTTCTTGGTTCAAGTCAATATACTTTAATTTAAAAAAAAAAAATACTTTAAATAATGTCTTTTCTTGGTTCAACTCAATAAACTAGGGGGTGTTTGGTTCATCAAGTTGGAATGGATTGGTATGAAATCCCATACTATCTAGAGAGTATGGATTCTAAAACTAATACTAGTCCAAAATTGTTTGGTTTTATTGTTGGAATAAATTCTATCCTTCACTAATAGAATGGATCGTGAATTTTAGGAGGAGGGGTAGGTGTGAGATTCCACAGGCATGAGATTTCATTCCTAAAAACCTCAACCTAACAAAAAATTAGATGGAATGATTCTAACTCCATTCCAATCCATTTGAAATGATCCAACCAAACTACCCTTTATATCGTTCAAAATCCCTTATAAGAAAAAAAACCAACAATGTATATTGTTCAAATATCAACTGTATTTAACTTTTCTCACAAGAATTTGGAGTTATTAATTAAAAATTGCACTTGACTGACTTGAGTTTGTACAAATAGAGAATATAAAATTAATTAATTAATTAATTAATTAAGTAAGTAATTAAAAAAAAATAAAAAAAAAGACTTGC